TCATCAGGATTTATGTTATTTGGGATTACGTCGTAAACTCATTAAACACCAAATTACTTAAGAATATTCTTTAAAAATCACTTACCCATTGGATATGTTCCGCAATTAGGCACCCAACTACTTTTTTGTCATTGGAAATGAAGAGAAGTGTTTTAGTTCTGGAATAGCACATTAGTGGAGCCTGTTGAAAACCTAAATCATTGTCAACCATCTCTCTAATCTCGTCAACCTGCCAAATAAAGAACAAGAATTATTTTTAAATGAAAACATTATATACATGTAAAAACACACTATTTCAGTTCAGTAGATAGACTTTATTCCAAGCAGGGCATCCTCTAAAGAGTTCTTTTGGATGGGCATGGTGGCTCACACCTGTAATCCTAACACTTTGGGAGGCCAAGGCGGATGGATTGCTTGAGCTCAGGAGTTCACCACCAGCCTGGGCAACACGGTGAAACTCCGTCTCTACTAAAATATAAAAAAATTAGCCAGGCGCAGCAGTGTGCGCTTGTAATCCCAGCTACTTCGGAGGCTGAGACAGGAGAAACCCTTGAACCTGCTGGAAGGCGGAGGTTGCAGTGAGCTGAGATCACGCCATTGTACTCCAGCCTCGGTGACAGAGAGAAACTCCATCTCAAAAAAAATAATTTAAAAAAAAAGAGTTCTTTTGAAGGACTGTACTGATCAATAACTGTTTTTTAACCCCAAGAAACACTTTGCAAAATGAAGGAAGAACTGGAGGGTGATGCCAAACCCAACAGTCTAGAGAACAAGAGGGATGGGGTGAGAGCTCCTACAACAGATTATTAGAAACATTAAGACTTCATATTAGAAGTATCTAATTTGTGAATGGAAGAGAACTTCACTGGAATCTTAGCCAGGCAAGCCACTTTTCTTCCCAACCCTTAATTAGTACTCTCATCAGTAAAACGAAAGTGAGTATAGAGAAAAGGAACTCATATTTACTTCCTATCAACCACTTATAGGCCAGGCATTATTCAAAGCACTTTACAAATATTTCACTTCAATCCCACATTTCTTGGAGGTTCCTTACTTTACACATGGAAGAAATAAAACTCAAAAGTTAAACCACTTTCCCATGTCAGATAGTAGACATCCAGAAAATCAAGGAGCAGAGTCACATGTGAATCCAAAATGTTACTATGGCATCAAACCATGCTTCTTACAGTTTACCTCCTAAGTGACCAAAGTCAAACATGATAAGCTCAAACTGTTGGCAGGCAATCAAAAGAAAGACCTCTGTAGGTACTCAAACATTAGTTCCTTCCCCAGTTAAAAGATACTGCAAACAAAAGCCAGAGAACAGTGGCTGATGCCTACAATCCCAGCACTTTAAGAGGCTGAGGCTAGAGGAGTTCAAGGCCAGCATGGGCAACACAGCAAAACACATCTTTACAAAATTGTTTTATTAGCCAGATGTGGTGGCACTTGCCAGTAGTCCCAGCTTCTCAGGAGGCTGGGGCAGGAGGGTCACTTTGGTCTCAGGAGTTTGAGGTTACAGTGAGCTATGATTGTACCACTGCACTTCGGCCTGGGTGACAAGAGTGGAATTCTCATAAAAAAAAAATAATAAAATAATAGAGTCCAATAACACTCATTTATGTTATTAAGTTTAAAATGCAAATAATCCTTAAGAGGGTTAAACATTCATACCTCTGGCATGCAGAATACCATGCAGCAAATCCCTTACTCAGTGATGAAGACTCAAGTCCTCCTAATCCTGAGACAGCATCCTACAACTCCTAATTCCTGAAGACAAGTGATTCACAATTCCCTAGATTTTAATTTTTAACCTATTATGGGTTACTAGGATTTTGTTCAGATAAACTAAAATGAGGAAATTAGCATCTACTGAGGGTTTCTTCTAAGAAAAGTCTGGTTGCCACATACGGTAGTGTAGCAGAAGTTCCCAGTGTGCATTTCCAAATGTGAACAGCTGGAATTCCAAAAATTCCTTAATTTAATTTTCATTTAAGTTGACCCTTGAACAACAAAAGTTTGAACTGAGTGGGTCCACTTATATGTAGGGTTTTTTTCAATAAATACATTGGAAAATTTTTTGGAGAATTGCGACAATATGAAAAAACTAGCAGCCGGACGCAGTGGCTCACACCTGTAATCCCAGCACTTCGGGAGGCTGAGGCGGGCGGACCACGAGGTCAGGAGATCGAGACCATCCTGGCCTCGAGTAGAGATGGTGAAACCCCGTCTCTATTAAAAATACAAAAAAGTTAGCTGGGCATGGTGGCAGGTGCCTGTAGTCCCAGCTACTCGGGAGGCTAAGGCAGGACAGTGGCGTGAACCCGAGAGGTGGAGCTTGCAGTGAGCCTAGATGGCGCCACTGCACTCCAGCCCGGGCGACAGAGCGAGACTCTGTCTCAAAAACAAAACAAAACAAAACAAAACACTAGCAGATGAACCATGTAGCCTAGAAACATTTAAAAAAAAAAAAAAAAAAAAAATCAAAAAAATGTTAGGTATGTCATGAATGCAGAGAGTATACGTAGACACTAGTTTAAGTATGGGTTTAATCAATTATTTATGTTATCAATAAGGTTACCAGTCAACAGTAGGCTATCAGCAGTTAAGTTCTGGGGGAATCAAAAGTTGTACTTGGGCTGGGCAGGGTAGCTCATGCCTATAATCCCAGCACTTTGGGAGGCTGAAGCAGGAGAATCCCTTGCGACCAGGAGTCCAAGACCAGCCTGGGCAACACAGTGAAACCCTGTCACTTAAAAAAAAAAAAAAAAAGTTAGAGTTGGATTTTTGGCTGCATGAGAAGCCGGCACCCATAACTACTACACTGTTTGTGGGTCCACTGTGGTTAATCACTGATCCCACATTAACTCAACAAGAATTTACTATTGTGCAAGAATCAATGTTTCAAATACAAGAAAGGTTGGGCATATTTACATGTCACTGTAAATACTATTGTCTATTCTGTTAGGCAGCAGTAATATGAAAGCTTATTTAGGTATCTAAGATTGTCCATTCAGATAAACAGAATATCTGAAGAACCAGAAGATAAACTTACATATTTTAAATAGACTATTAGCCAAACTTTCAAATAACAGGTGCAAAGTATTTTCCTTCAACCATCTTTCCAAGTGAAGTATTCTTAAGTTTAAAGAAGTCCAATTGCTAACCTAAAAAAAAGTATAATAAACTGTTTTTCTCATGTTTCCAGACATTTGGGACAAACTCTAGTGTAATTATTCGTTTTTCAGATACGCAATTGAACCCATTGCTTACATTATGAGGTATTTCTTCTGAAAAAGCATCCAGAAGTTGAAGAAAAACATACTGAGTATATTATGTGAAAGTGCAATGAACATATTAAACTTATTTAAAAATAAGTTTACCTTATGGTTCCTGATTTTTTAAATAATCTACATAATAAAATGGTTCCAGGGTTCATTATCTCTCTAGTTCATTTCTCAACACAATAAACTCTCTGAATACTTGAAGTATATGGAACTCTAAGTTTGACTAACACTTGCCTCACACTAGATAAGATAAACTTTTATGTTTCTCCATTATATTTATAAACTGGAATATAGCCTTATCTCTTAAAAATATTGTAAGATTAAGTCATGTTTAATTTCAGGTTTACTATGACCTACTTAGCAATCCCCTTCTGCAATAAGCTTTTATTTAGAAATTTTCCCTTAGAATGAAACTTTACATTTTATTGATTTTCCAAATTATTATAATTAAGTTTTTATTTCTACATCGTGAAATCATTTAGTTGGCATCGCTCACTTAATAGAAGATAAGCATTTAGTAATAATACTGGACAGTACTCAATTCATTTAGAATTCATATACTGGACACACTATAAAGTTCAACATAATGTTTGAATTGGGTTATACCCTTTAAATGCTTATTTCTTGCTTTCAGAATAGATGTTTAAATACACTATGCCAACAATCTGTTATCCTCTTAAAATTAACTGCAAAATGGGCCAGGCACAGTGGTTCATGCCTGTAATCCCAGCACTTTGGGAGGCCGAGACAGGCAGATCATGAGGTCAGGAGTTCAAGACCAGCCTGGCCAATTTGGTGAAACCTTGTCTCTACTAAAAATACAAAAGTTAGCTGGGTGTGGTGGCACACGCCTGTAGTCCCAGTTACTCAGGAGGCGGAGGCAGGAGAATCGCTTGAACCCGGGAGGCAGAGGTTGCAGTGAGCCAAGATCGTGCCACTGCACTCCAACCTGAGCGACAGAGCAAGATTCTGTCTCAGAAAAAAAAAAAATTAATTGCAAAATGATATCCACTCTGCATTAAGTTTCACTGGAAATTTACCTTTTTCAGGGCATACTTTGGGTCTTCAGGAAGAACCATTATTATCCTGCCATCAGGGTATTCTGCCAGAATTCTTTCTTTCTTCCAGCCCTAGATATATACATATATATACGTAAAGTATCAATTTTATGTATATTTTATTCATCATATCCATGTACAAGAGAAAAAGTATATCAATTTGTCTAAAAATTGCAAACATGAAAAATATATGCTCATTAATGCTTAATAAAGCATGATAAATAGGCTATTTTGTTAAGCATACAATAGGTACAAGGCAAGCTAATTTCTCTCTACTACTCATTCAGAGATACAACTAACACCACAGGAGTATTTCTAATTTATCATTTCCCATTTTAAATTAATTTTGAAAGCCACACACCAAAAGCAAGCCCCTTAAAGTCAGTAATTCCCAGAAACTATAATTCTCCCAGATGCTTGATAAAAGAATTAAACTCTTATATTTCATTGGAACATGGTTACCTCCACAAACAAACACTCAAAGTTTTATGTCTGGCATGCCAAAGACCTCCAGGAGGTTTTAAATGAACTGATTTGCATGCAGTAGCCCAGTATGAAAGGAATAGTTTTATGCTTATTGATCACAACTACCAAAGCCACAAGAAGGAGACTATAAAAAATATAACTACCTTCTAAGAATCTAATAGGGAAGGAGAAGCTACGTTGTGTGTATCTGAAGTTAAACATACTCAAAAAAAGAGAGGTAATAAACTCTTCTTCAGATCCACACTCGTGGTGATTAATGAGCAGAACCTGCATAAAAAAAAAACAAACAAAACAAAAGCCACTTAAATCTAGTAAGATGGGACTGAACCAGAGGTTAAAACTAGGAGCTTTGAAGTTCAAAATAAGTACAGAAGGAATGAGCTTAACTAGTTGTTCCAGTTGTCTTAACCCAACCAACTTTACATAAAAAGGCCTTTCCAGAAGCCATTTATACTTCCAGTAGAGAAAACCACCATATTTTTTCTGATGTTTCTTCTAAGAACACAAAAGCTCAATGAAACCAAGAAAATGGCAACTAGATTTCTTTAAAAATATACTATGGCAAGTATGAAAGCAGATTCGTTTTCTTAAACCATCAAGAATTTTTTGGAGAGGGGAGGGTAGAAAGATCATTGTTGGGAACAAAAATTCTAATTAATAAGCTTGGTATATGTAACAACTTAAATTAAAAGATTTAAAATCCAAAACTTGTTTACATAATAGAGTACCCAACAGAAAAGTTAAATTCAGATGATTTGAATTAATTATCATTGGTAACATGTTCTCAAGATTTGAAAAGAAAAGAGAAGAAATAGCCACAGAAGTCCTTTTTTCATCTAAGAAACTAAATCTGTAGTTCTTCAACCTAAATAAGGTTTTAAAAAAGAAACTTAAGGCCGAGTGTGGTGGCTCATGCCTGTAATCCCAGCACTTTGGGAGGAGGGCGGATCACGAGGTCAGGAGATCAAGACTATTCTGGAAACCCCATAGCTACTAAAAGACAAAAAATTATTGTAGTTTTAGACGGGTGTGGTGGCACGCGCCTATAGTTCCGGCTACTCAGGAGGCTGATGCAGCAGAATCGCTTGAACCCGGGAGGTGGAGGTTGCAGTGAGCTGAGATCGCGCCACTGCACTCCAGCCTGGGTGACAAAGCAAGACACTGTCTCCAAAAAAAAAAAAAAAAAGAAAGAAAGAAAGAAAAATCTGAATCATATACAGATCTGAATATAGGTAAACAATTTTGAGAAGACTTACAAGATATC